GCTGTACAGCCCACTGAGCCTCTATCGAATTGCCACGGCGGGCATTGCTCCTCGGGGAGTAAATGGCCAGGACGTGAAGCTGACCACTCACCCCCATCGAGCTCTGAGGTTAAGAGTGTGTATAGTTATACCATGGCTTCATGGGATGGTGCTTGATTCAGCACAGGGACAGCTGTTTGCCGGCGAGGCGCAGGAAATAATTGACTTGTACCGTCAACAGATGGCAGGAGAATTTATTTTTAACTGACATTATCGAACGCCAGATATAGACTGGTGGAGCGGTAACGCTCTACATTTGTATTTTCGGAGGCGCTCGGTTCGAAACTAGACCGTGACACCAGCTATGTTTAATTTCTGGCCCTCCAGGCAAGTCCCGCGATAATCCGTTAATTGGATGACAATAATTTCCTTGTAAATCCTCTCAAATTGGTCGTTCATTTGTCTGAGTTGCTGACAGCCCCTTAAAATAACGTGCGAGGTGCAGATGTTGCTCATTTGGCCTGAATGCGGTTAGTGAGGTTTTGTGTATGTGTCGGTTATAGTAACAGGGATTGTGAAGGAATGTTGTTGGAGTGGAGTGTAGAACTGGTCCCCTTCTGTGCTGGCGTCACATCCTTTTGTTACCATACAGGATATTACGACACGCAGCGTCGTCTTAAGCTTATCAAATGCCGAGTGCTTTGGTGCTGTCCGCCGTACGTTTGATTACCCATACGCCCCTTTGGCTTCGCTGTGCAACATACGCCGTCTGCTGCCGCCCTTTAGTTCGTCACCAGAATCAGACATCAGCCTTTTCCGGATATTCAGTAAAAGTAAAAGGACTGCATGTTTGTAGTCCTGGCAGCACAGAGTAATCAGGGGTTATGATTGTTAGCTTATGGCCAGCGGCCTCCGTAGTCTAGAGGTAACGTTCCCACCTCATGACTCGTGGTACGCGGGTTCAAACCCGGCGGAGGTCGTGGAATTTTTAAGGGCGGAAAAATTCAGGGAACAAGTCCTCCGGGAGGGACTTTAAGCCGTGGGTCCCGTGTCGTAGCTTTGCGGCACGTAAAAGGACCTCATATTTGTAGATTTGTAGATGGCTGCAGGGTATGTGGGGAACCTCGTGCTTTCGCCCTTACCCTGAAGATGGAGGCAGCACGTTCTTCCGAAACGTCGGTAAGAATCTGCCGGTTTGAACGGCACAATAGTGAGGATAGCAAATCTCCACCGTCGGGAGGTTACTCAGAGTAACTTTTGTAGATTACATAACCTTAAAATGAGGGAAGCGAAACTAATGTGTTCCTCACTCTTATATCCTGAAGATGGAGGTAGCACGTTCCTCAGAAACATCGGTGAATATGTGCCGGAGGACTGTGATCCTTGGGGTCACTCCAGTGAGAACGTCAGACTTGAGAGAGAAAAAGAGACAGTGAGGAGAGAGTAGTTGAGTAAAAGCCTGGAATAGTTTAGTGGGACAGTCACACAGAGTAACGAAATTGCTAGCAGGTGGATGGATCTGTAGTTAACTTACGCGATCATGTTGAAATTTCGTGACTTTTAAGCTTTTGTCGCAAGATGAAGTAGCAGAGTCACTCTGAGAAATTATCTCGTAAAATCTCGACACCGTAGATCCGTGACGTCATTTTGATGAAATTCCTACCCCGTCACCATGTCACTATATATATAGTGACATGGTGACTGGGAAGACATGACGGTATAGTTTAACAATAAATGCAATCATCTGCTACGCATTGACCGGTAACCTGCAGCTGGTTTCCGCCGCAACAAGAGAGGGGAAACTGTATTTTCTGTTGGGTCCGACGTGAGGCTATAGAGCGAGCACGAACTAGACGTAGTCAATCGAGAATGTGAGGGAGTTACGGCCATGAGGAGTAGTGAAGGGATCTCCAGCCAGAGAGGACAGGAGCCGTTGAACAGCGGAAGCAGATCCGTTACCAGGTAACGACTGGCGAAGACAGAAGGTATAGGGGAGTGTTGTAGTGAGAGGTATAGTTGCAACTTGTAAGAGGTCAATAAATCCAATTACCAATCCAAACCCTGTGTAACAAACACGTGACGTCCTCCGGAGTTCCAGACAGCAGTCGTAATTGCGGGTTGGAAGCTGTGAATCGTATCTTGAAATGTTAATTTTATCAGATTCTTGTTTCTGAACAAATGCAGGCTCTTGCAGTTACAAAATAGTTGATGGCTGTCTGTGTCTGCCAATTCCCTTACCCAGCTATGTATTTTTAAAGATACACATAATATTATTGCGAATACATGTGAAGGGGTCTATATAGCTACGGGCTGGACAGCCGGGGTTCGATTCCCGCCAAGGGCAAGATTTTCTCTTCTCCATTGTTTCCAGATCGGCTCTGGGCCCCAATCAGCGTCCTTAACAATGGGTACCAGGAGCTCTTTTCCCGGAGTAAAGCGGCTGGAGCATGAAGCTGACGCCTCCAGCTCCCATATGTCTTCATGGCGTGGCGCTTATCTAATTAAGCGAAGGGCCAACTTTACTTACGTAATCTTGATTTCTTGGTGTCGTTCCCAGGTATCTGAACCGTGGACTTGTTATACGTATTATTAATCATTATAATGAAGATACGTGAAAAGGCATGCACTTCATTTCCTCTGCTTCAATTCTGGACCGCTTCCCTTACTGTTAGGTAAGGCAACTTTGGGGAAGAGAAGTCAATGAGATATCTGGCATGTTTATGTTGGGTCCCCTCGCGTGTTGAAAATAGAGTCAAGCGGACAGCAAGCGGAGCCGTCTGTTTCTTGCTTGTTCCACTGCTCGACTCAGAAGGTGGGCAAAACGCATTCCTCCGAACCTGCGGTCCTTCCCTGAAGGGTCTAAACATACCTGCATGTGCAATGTCCAGAAGATTAGCGTAGGCAGAATTTGTTTTTAAGTACTGAAGTTCTTACCAGAGTGAGAAAGTACGGTAGTTGTAATAGGCATGTGGAAGTAGAAATCTTCGTTAATTGTACCCGGAACTTGGCGAGCGGGTTCGCGTAGCGGTACCACCCTGGACTCGTGTTCGGGAGGCACTCGGTTCAGAGTCTTGATCGAAACACTGGCTGTACTGACTGAAGTCTGTCGTTCTTTTCCTCAGTTCCTCCAGGAAAGTGCCTGCCGCTTCCTTTCAAATCCGTTCAGATACATCATCCACTCGAAGCTGTGTAGTGTAGGTACTGAAGCCACCAGCCCAGTCTTGCACCCGGAACGTATGTAAATTCAGTACATCCTCGCTGATCCGGTGTAATTGGGAGGTGGAGGTCGTCCGGATTAGTGAAGCAAAAGATAGCCCTGAAACAGAAGAAACTAAGCACACAAATAACTGGAGAATTTAGTGATGTGAGTAATGCTCATGAAAATGAAATATCACTGTAGAGCCTTTATTTAAAACTATAAAAAGACGACACATCTGTTCGTCGATAGAAGCCTCAGCAGTTGCACCTTTTTATGAACGTAACAGTGCAGGTTTGAAGGAACTGTCTCAAGTTTTGTCTGAACAGACCAGCGGCTCATCTACCTTCCTAAGTGCCACGTGTCTTTCGAAGTGTGTACCCAAAGTGTGTACCCAACTGTGAACAGCATTTTTCATTTTGTCATTTGATCCGGATTAGCGGGTGTTTACTGTATTCCGCTTCTGTTTCGTAAACTGGACGTTGTGAGAACAAGGAAGGCGTTTTGCAGCGGTTACAAAGGCAGTTGGGGCAGTTCGTTTATCAGCGCCATCTGTTGGTATTACTCTTTTCTCAACGGATTTTCATATCCGTTTCCGGAAGGATGACTGCCCTCTTCGCGGTTGTGTTTCTTGAAACGAACTGTAGAGAACATACGGCTCTGCGGATGCGTTTTGACGTAGGCGAGCGAGTTTTCTGTTGCTTGCCCCATAGCGTCACTTCCTCAGTTGAAACAGTTGCCCAGGCACGACGCTACTGTGAATGTGGAGTGTTATGGTCACGAAACTGGAGTTGGAGCGAAACTTATGGAGAAACGTGTGATACCACGAAAAAGCATTATGTATACAGGGTGTTGGGAAATTCTTGATGAGCATTGAGACGATAATACTGCTTGGACGAAATCATGTAACGATGATCTTCATAAATTGTACTGTAATACTCGTATGACAGAGTAATATTATTAGATGATGGATTCTGCAAGGAAGGGAGTGGACAAGACTTGTAGAACGCGTAGAAGTAGTCGTCAGCTGACAAGTTGAAGGGAAGAGACCAGTTGAGTGAGACTGGCGCTGACTGGGCGGTAATATTAGAATGTGAGAACGTGTTCTCACGGCGATGAGTCTCTGCTGGGATGTGACGGTCTGCAATTCGGCAGATGGGGGAACCTGCGGCCTCCATCCGGCAGACATCACGGCGTCACAGCCCACAACACCGTAATCAGCGATTTTATTCGTAAGGTGGCCGGTTGGGGTCTCGACCGGGACACATTGTTCTGACTGACACGCAGATGTCTGGATAAAACCTCAGATTTGGCCACGATCGCTTCCATCCACAGCCTGTGATACAGCGTCGTTAAATGAGCAATGAGTAAATAAAGACTACAGTCTTTAATACGTGTATATTATAAATGATCTTAAAGATATTGGGGTGTGAGAATTTGGCCTCGATTGATCTGGTTCAGGATAGAGTTTACTGGTGGACTGTTGTGAACACAACACAGCCTCCGAGTTCCATAAAACGCTAGGCCGCCCAATAGCTCAGGCGGTTAGTCGGTGGCTTCCCACCGCGGCGGCCCGGGTTCGAGCACGGGTCCAGTCCTGTGTCATTTGTGGTGGGCGGTTAGGTTTTCTCCGAGTACCTCTGTTTCCCCTGCCAGTCTTCATTCATCTACCATCTGTTGCTGGTACAGTGGGGTCAGTAGCGGCCGCAGTACCGAATTACTGTCAGATCATGATAGAGAATCCAGCGCTTAGGTTGGCAGTCCTGCTGTAGTAGTACGAACATTTGTAGCGGCCCAGTCAGTCGGCGAGCCTGCCGGGAGCGTATTTCGGTGCAGTTGGCAGTGGGGTGTGGCGGTGGTTGGTGCAGATATGAGTACACCTTGTGGACTGATGATATTGTGATCGTGGCGTAGATTTGAGCGTCACCTGTGAAGAGAAACACTTCCAGGATTCGAACGGAGTACACCCATAGGATGAAGGCGCACATAGGATTGTTAGAGGAAGTGTTTGCTGTGTTTAGGAATGCCCAGTGAATTGAACAGTTGAAAGAGGCTAGATAGTGCGTAGGCAGAGTAAGGCCAGAAGACACTCCGAACTGTTGGTGCCCTTACTCTGGTAAGTGGGCCAGGCTTTCTCGAACGCTTGTAACACAGTGGAACCCATTGTTACTCGTCCGAACACATGTCATCACAGTGTGTGTGTTTTGTACGGTAAACAGCGATCATTTCCATAAATAGCATTAACCGGTTGGTCGTTATGTTTTCTGTGAGGTGCGAACTGAAATGTACATATTACCCAGATGAACTACAAGTTTCAGAGGCGTATTTTGACTTCATGGACTGAATTTTTGGAAGCACACAGGATGAACACCCCCTGTTGTTTCATTCTGATTTCATTTGTTGCGGTTTGTTTCTCGCGTTGAAAGGCGCCCCAAAATGTCTCCCGTGTAACAGTATATAACGATTGTCGCGGTTCTCTCTGTAATAATTTGTTTGTGATTTATTCCAGAGCGCTGTCAGTATCTCAGACTACCGTCGGATTGTAGGTTGTGAGGAGTTCCGTCTTCTGGAATACGGACAACACGGCGTTGCGCTTCACATACCGTCGAAAGAATTAGGAAGAAAGTGTATGTGGCCCAATTTGGGGCAGTCCCGGCCTTGTTTTGCCGCGAGGGACTGAGGAAGACAGAGATTTAGAAGTGGAACGTCCTCAGAATGCGAAGCGCGAACAGTAATCATTGGAATGGGAGGTCGGGGATGTTTAACGAGCCCATTTAACGAGTAATAAAAGACCAAATCAGTTGATATCGATATGTGTGCTGCTGTTAGGTGAAATGACGTGTGTTCGTATCCCGAGTTGGGTGTTGTTGGTCCGCTGCTGGGTGTGAACGAACATTGTGTTGCTTGTAATAACCTGAAATAGAAATTCATTTCCTCCGTCACACGAAACACGGCATGTATCGGTAACAACGACCAGCCGATTGGTGCCGTATAGGGAGATGAGATGATCGCTGTTTATTGTGAGAGCCGCAGGCAGCACATAAGTACCCTCTTTGGCAGTATGCATTTGTCTAAAGCGTCTGTGTATGTCATCTTGAATGGCAGTTTTATGAAGAAAAGCCCCGCGTGCTTAAAGAGATCTGTTTGTAGAAAATGTAACTAACCCATGTAACAAACGTTGCGTACGATATGTTTAGTGCTGTGCTGCTAGCCAGCTCTGTGCATCGCGTAAATCTGGAGTGTAGACCTGAATGAGATTTAGGTGTATACTTAATAGTTCTCGTCTGCTGTCCAAAACCATAAAAATTAGAATATACAGAACAATAATTTTGCCCGTGGTTCTGTATGGGTGTGAAACCTGGTCTCTGACATTAAGGGAGGAACATAGACCGACAGTGTCGAGGAGAATATTTGGACCGAATAGAGATCAAGTGACAGGAGGTTGGAGAAAACTGCATAATGAGGAGCTTCATAACTTGTACTCTTCTCCAAGTATAATTAGAATGATCAAGTCAAGGAGGATGAGATTTGCAGGGCACGTAGCACGAATAGGAGAGAAGAGGAATGCATATAGGATATTGGTGGGGAAGCCACAAGGAGCGAATCACTAGGAAGACCAGGATGTAGGTGGTGATAATATTAAAATGGAGCGTAGAGAGATAGTATGGAGTGGTGTGGACTGGATTGACCTGGCTCAGGATATAGACCAGCGGAGGGTTCTTGTGAACACAGTAATGAACCTTCGGATTCCATGACATGCTGGGGAAATTCTTGAGTAGCTGTGCAACCGGCGGCTTCTCAAGACGGGCTTAGCTCCATGTAGTGAGTTAATATTCTTTGCAGAATTTGTATGTAACAAGTACGGCTTGATCTTAGAGCCGGCGCTTGGCTGCTGACGCATTGACCACTCAGGACACTTTTATGATAATGTAAATTGGGTGTAGAATTCATTTCGTTCACTACAGTAGGACCACAAGATGTCAACAGTGAAGGTAGAATTTCAGTCAGCATTACAATGTTTTGAGTAGGTATTGCACTGTCTGCCGTTGCCGAGGAAAGGTACCTCTAGTCTGTTCTGCTGTTGTACTTATGGGAGCCGGGATAGCGTTGTCGGTATAGCGACTGGCTACGGGCTGGATGACAGAGGTGCCCCAGTTCGTGTCCTAGTAGGGGCAAGAATTTTCTGTTCTTCACAGCGTCCAGACCGGCTCAGGGGCCCACCCAGCCTCCTATAAAGTGGGTTCCGGGGCCTCTTTCCCTGGGAGTAAATCGGCTGGGGCGTGAAGCTGACCACTCACCTCCACCTGGTACCAAGGTCCAGAAAACTTGGATCTGTACGTCCACTTCGTCTTTGTGGCGTAGTGCTTAGTTAAGCACAAGGAAAAAATTTCTTTTTAATTAATTTATTTTTGCTGTTATACATTGTCAGGCCGCCTTTTCAGAACGTTTTCCTGTCAGTAGGGTGCATATTCAGTGAAATCGTAGCTTCGCTGTTGAGTGGATTGGCATGTCGGTAATGCTTTGGACTCGTATGCCAGAGGTGCTGTGTTGGAATCTCGTCCGGGACACCGGCTGCTCTGACCGACGGAATTTGCCTTCAGTGCCAGAAATAAACAGCGTAAACTCCAGTCTGGGAAAGATTCGAAGGAAGACAAAGTTTTGCGTTGTTTATTTCTGTAATTGATGCCAACTCCGGGATAGTACCTTGCTTAGGTAATTATAGTTCCCAGTTCAGCTGTCACCCTTCAATTTTACAGTATAATCGAGATATTGACAGCGGTGTACAATAGCCAACACATAATGTCCCTCAAGGGCTGTAGCTACGTGTAGGAACTGGCAAAATTTACTGTTGGATTTTCATCGACGATTGTATTTATACAAGGAAAGTGGTTGAGGCACTATGCTACAAGTTGGAAGGTCTCGGGTTCGTTTCCCAATGAGGTCGTTGGATTCTTTAGTTTACCTAGTGCTTCCAGCCGCATAGTGGCCCTGGGGTCGACTCACCTTCTAACAGAAATAGGTACCAGGAATACTCTAGGGTGAGTCTGACAACCTCAGCGCCATTTGTGAGACGATTGTCAAGAAAATATGGGAGCCTGTCTGTCTCAACCCGATGGGCCTCCAAGGCCTGTGAGAGATAGCTTTACCTTTTTCAGATGGTTTGTAACGGTAGTGTGATATATTTATTGTTTTACCTTTATAGCTATACAGGGTGATTCAGAATTACGTCATAAGTAATAATTTCACATCGGGTCGTTGCATTGTATACGGACGTTATGTGGAGCTTGTATGTATATTTGTGGAATGCGTCAGTGATCCCGGTCTTAAGTGGACCGTGGACGACTGCATTTGAGTGTCAAGGGCGTGGGGGTCCATGTACGCCTAATATATCGAAATTCTAGAACATCGTGTGCATGGATTGCATTAAAGAAAGGCGCGCCTATGAAGTGCCCAGTGACACGACGCTCGGTATCTGAGCCGTGTAGGTTTGAAAGGTAATCTGATTGATGAACTGGAAAGGATTTGGGAGCTCTTGTCATGACCCGGCATGTGTGTCTAGGGAATAGGAAAACTACGAAAAACCTGCCAGGATAGACGGTGTCTCGGCTGGGATTCGAACTGAACACCACCCGAACACGAGTCTACAACGTCACCGCCAAACTAGCCTGCTCAGACCGACATGGTTCGACTCTTTACCTAGACGACAAAGTGGCGAATGCTAGGATGACTGATAAGTTAGTACGGATGTGGAGGGAAGCGGTCCTCACCTAATCGACATACTGCTCCGGAATTTGCCTGGAGAGACTGAGGAATACCACGAGAATCTGAGGATAACGGGTGTCCCGGCCAAGATTCGAAGCTAGAATCTGCCGAATACAAGCGTAGAGCGGCCCTGCTCGTCATAATCTGTTAATTGAGATTGTTAAATATTTGTATAATATTAAAATTGTGGATAACCAGGTTGTGGGTGTGTGGATAGGGGTTGGTGTTAGTTCTGAGGTGTTCCGCTGCGTTATCGATCTCAGAGGCAAGCCTGGGTCACCGCTCCGTGACGTCAAGAGTGACGTATTACCAGTTTCGTCATTGATATTCCTAACAAACTCATCTGCCTCATCCCAGTTTCCTCCCGATTTGTGTCCGTAAGCTCTGCGCTTTGTTTCTTGTTCGACTCCTGTGTCTTGTGATCACTGAGGCCTCGTGTTCCCAGCAAACTTTGAAGCTGCACGTCATTGCTGGACGCTTTCCGTGCCTTGTCTATCTGTCTGTGTCTGTGACGAGAAATTGAGTTGTGTATAAATTATGTTTGAGGATGCCGTCAGATAGTGACGGAAGGCCTTCGTCGTTATAAAGTTGCTAGATTCTGCTTTCTGCACCCGATGGGACGAAAAATCGTCACACTGGAGACCTCCTGTTCCGTAAGGCTGCCTACCCGAGGTGTGACTACACTTGAGTATGGTTTGGACGGAAAAAGGGAGGTTATGTCGGCATACGTGATTCAGGAAGATCGAGCCTGAAGGAAATGCCCCGGAACCATTTTTATTCAGATAAGACGAGGCGAAATTAACGAATTTAACCACGTTAGGCCAGCCTATATCCAGTCCCGGCTTTTAACCCTTTTAAACTTGAAAGCACAGGTGTAGAGTAACTGTATACCCCACCTCCTTTAGCTTTAGAAATACTCCCCACTTTACGGGCGCAGTGCATTTATGTCTTTCGTTTGATTCGCACAATGAATGGCGACTATTTGCCTAAAAATCCTTAACCGATCGGTCCTTGTAATGGAGAGGCATTGCGTTTTCGGTAATGTCGAATTTGGGTTTTTAAATATTACTGAGGTGAATTCCAGGCTTCAGAGGGTTAACCTGACGGTAGCCGGACTGCCGTGTCAGGATAACTGTGTCGCCCTGAAGCTGCTTCATCTCGTCTCCAGACCTCGCCACAAAAACAGCCGAAATGGATGTCCCGTGATTTGGTTTCGGACTGCATCGGCGAGTATCGACTTCATTCATATCAGGCCTTCCACGGCCATATTGTTTAGTCGACTCTGTCCCCCCCACTCTTTTATCCGCCCCCTGTCTCCATATTCTGCTTTTTTTCTCTCTCTCTCTTCAATTC